ACTCGCAGCGCTGCGAGTCCAACGCATTCTCACTCCCTCCGCATCAACATATTGACGCTTGGTCAGGCAGCATTTTGCGTCTAGTCTTGACACGCCAGGTACCCCAGCATGTCAGGTTTTTATCAGATGAGGCGGAGGAGGACGGGCGCGTTGTTCTATTTTAACAAATGTAGGAAATGCGCGTTTCTTCACATCAACTATTTAATAAATACTTTTCTAAGTTCTACAAAAGTCATTAGTTCCTTTGTGTTTACAGTCATTTATTAAAGATGTGTAAAGGTGGAAATATCTCCAGCCTCATGCGCCGCTGAAAATAACAGCACACGCGCTTACATACCAACACCCACACACACCTTTGCGAGTGGCAGACTCATTTTTACACCCCACTACTTATTTATACAATTTTCTCACTCATTCTCTATTTAATTTTTTTTCCTGCATCTAAAAATCATTTCTGATGATAGTCTGAGGAGAATCTCACACTCTGGACACATTTACATCTATTTTACATATTTAAATGGAGGCGTGTCAGGRGAGGAGTCTCACGTGTGATCAGTTCCACGTTCATTGGGATGTATAAAGGAAAGGTGCGCAGGAACCTGCCTGTGCACTGTTTTATACAGCTGGATTTTTTGGTGCGGCACACTTTTCTAAATTTGTCTGTACRTCTACTTTTAGTGTGAAAGCTGCACAATCCTTTATGCATGAAGCCCCAGATGCCCGAGCCACCTCAACTAGCTCCTCTCGATGTGGAGGAGCAGCGGCTCTACTCTGAGTCCCTCCCAGATGACCGAGCTTCTCACCCTATCTCTAAGGGAGAGCCCAGACACCCTGCAGAGGAAACTCATTTCTGCCGCTTGTATCAGCGATCTTGTTCTTTTGGTCACTACCCAAAGCTTGTGAGCATAGATGAGGGTATAGGAAAGTAGACTGAACAGTAAACTGAGAGCTTTACTTTCTACCTCATCTCTTGCTTCACCACAACCGACCAGTCCAGCACCTGCATCACTGCAGACGCAGCACCAATCCGCCTGTCAGTCTCCTGCTACTTTCTTCCCTCATTCGTGAACAAGACCCCGAGATACTTAAACTCCTCCACTTGGGGCAGGATCTCCTCCCCGACCCAGAGAAGGTGACCTACCCATTTCTGGCTCAAGACCATTGTCTTGGATTTGGAGGMACTGATCCTCATCGCAGCCCCTTCACACTCGGCTGTGAACCGCTCCAGTTAGAGCTGGAGATCACAATCTGATGAAGCCAATAGGATCACATCATCTGCAAAAAGCAGAGATGTGATCCAAAGGTCACCAAAAAGGATCCCCTCAAAACCTTGACTGCTCATAGAAATTTTGTTCATAAAAGTTATAAACAGAATTGGTGACAAAGGGCAACCTTGGCGGAGTCCAACTTTCACCGGAAATGAGTCCGACTGACTACCGGCAATGCGGACCAAGCTCTGGCACCGGTCATACAGGGACCTAACAGTCCATATCAACGGACCTGGTACCCCATACTCCAGGAGTACCCCACACAGAAGTCCCCAAGGGACATGATCGAACGCCTTTTCCAAGTCCACAAAACACATGTAGACTGGTTGGATGAACTCCCATGCACCCTCCAGGACCCTGCTGAGGGTGTAGAGCTGGTCCGCTGTTCCATGACCAGGACGAAAACCACACTGCTCTTCAAGGGACATGGTCGAACGCCTTCTCCAAGTCCACAAAACACATGTAGACTGGTTGGATGAACTCCCATGCACCCTCCAGGACCCTGCTAAGGGTGTAGAGCTGGTCCGCTGTTCCACAACCAGGACAAAAAACACACTGCTTTTCCTGAATCATACCATTTATGTTTTTTTGTGTGTAAATAGCCATAAGATGGCCTTTGTTATGAAACGACTCTATATGAAATCTAAATTGAACAAATATGAGTTGGTAAAGCTTTTTCCAGAGTTACTAAGCTCTTCATAGCAGTTTCCATGATGACTTGCCACATAGATTTAGTTTTAAAACAGACCCTTATCAAAGCAGATATTAATTTAGGGAATGGTCTTACTCTACTGTTGTGTTTGATAATTAGAAAGGAAAAATTAAGACATGAGTTAAACATACAAATATACTATGGAAAGTCAAAGTCTGCTATGGGATGAGTTTAGCTGGAACTGAGTATACAATGCATTTGTTTGTCCAAACACATAGCTTATGTTTATGCTTAGCAGTCCAATACTTTAAAATTAAATTAACAGCTTCCAGACCAAAACCAATCTTGACCATTTTCTGGTGGAGACATTGGGATGATTTTTGTGCAGATGTGAAATGAGATCCATATGTCTTACCATTGAGTGTGGCAGCTTTGTTGGCCAGTTCAACGTATCTCTTATAATCCTGACGGAGTACTTTGCCTGCAGCATCCCTCCATCCTTTCCAGGCAAAGAGCAATTCATTATAATCTCTGGACTCTGCCATGATTCTCTGGAGATCTGAGACACAGCAGGTTTTCATATTACAAACCATGACTGCTTAATGCAAAGTCCTACTCATATTTTTCTTAGTAAACAAGCAACCTGAATTGCGGTTCTCGTTACTGCTACATTTATTACATTCACTGCAGATTAGCTGCCAATAAACTTGCACTTAATTCATATTAGCGTTACCATACCTGGATCCAGTGGATAGCATGTCTCTTTGGATCTGCAAACCTCAGCCACACTGTACTTGGTCTCCATGTTGGACAGAAGTGTGTTGTACTGCAAAATACACACAGAATTTAACATTTAGGCTAAAAGGATGTTTCATTTGATTCATAACTCATTATTTTTCTGATCTCCGAGTGTAAAAAAGCATCTGTGTCTGCCAAACAAAACAAAAAAAAATAATAATAATAACTAGGCAGATCAGAACCTGAGCTGTCTCGTGTTGGTTTATGTAATATTAGCTTTTGGAGCTTTTTGTTTGTTCAAAATAGTCTTTACTTCCTTGTAAAGGCCCAATATGACAAATTCTTTCCAGCATAATTCACTCCAAGGTGTGAAACTGGTAGAAAAAAAATTAAATATTTTCTCCTACATTGGGATAAAAAAAAAGTTCAGAAATTCTATGCAGGATAGCAGGTTCCTGAGGACCAAAACCAAAGGACACCTACACAGTAGTACACGTCTTTTTGGTATTTACACATTATAAATGTATTTTTCAATTTCTGGAGGACTTTACTTGATTGTGCAACTATTCTGAAAAATGAAAACCTTTTAATGAAGTTTTCTAATTTCACTATAGGCTTTAGTTTGGATTGAATGCCCTTAGCAGATTGGCCCTGGATCAACTATTTTAGCCAAGCTCAGTTGTTATTTGAATTGTTCCCAAATATAAAAAAGCTCACATTTGTTTTTGTTTTAAAGTGTAACTTACCCCAAAATCAACTTTTTTAACAAATAAACTGCCCAAATTGTGTCTTAAGGGTAATACCTTGCTGTTTTTGACCTAAATTTAACGTTTTCGTCTAAAATAGTTTAAATCGTCAATATTTGGTCAAAAACGGCTTGGTACTGCCATCTAGGGGTTTAAAAAAAGACTACCACGTTTGAAGTACGTTGTGACGTGCAGTACAGCGTGACGTGTCACAGTACGTGCTCATATAAAAGGCTCTCTGTAGAGACACGCCCTGCAGAGATTCAGGAGTTAGCCATAGCATTGTTGATGGTATCTGTGGTAGAAGCTGCCTTCTCCTCCCCCACAGTGAAAACATGGAGTCTATCAGTCATAAAACAAACTGAATTAACTTACACATCCTCTTTGTGCTTCAAGAGTTTTTAAACTCTGGCTGTTGTGTCACGTAGTTTAGATAGGGCCAAAAACACACACACACACACACACACACACACACACACACACACACACA